AAGAAAAGAAAAAAAATATTATAATTTTTTTCTTTTTCGTACTGTCACCAGTCAGTGTCCCTGATTACCGCCACACCAAGTATATGATGACGCTGTACTGCACTGGTGACAGTATGTAAAAAAAAAAACAAATTGAAAAAAATGTTTTTTTTAATTTCTTCATTTTTTCCACACAAATTTTGACAAAAAAATGACAACTTCAAAAAACTAGCCATGCCTCTTACTAAAGATCTCAGACTGTCTGCAAAAAGAGGTAATTTGGGAGTTATTTGTACCATCCTGACATTTTTGGGCATCAAGAAATGAGATAAGCCAGCAGTACAACGAGATTGATCGATTTTAAGACAAAGTATATACCATAGTTTGTGGACTCTATAACTTTACTACAGACTAAATAAAATATACTGATTTGGGTTATTTTCAATGTAGCAGAATACATTTTTGCATACACTTATGAAGAACAAATATTTATTTGCAAAATTTTATAACAGAAACAAAAAAAATGCATTACTTTTCAAAATATTTGGTCTTTTTTAGTTTATTTAGCAAAAAATAAAAAACCCAGTGATCAAATACCACCAAAAGAAAACTCTATTGTGTGAACAAAACGATAAAAAATTAGTTTGGGTACAGTGTTTCATGACCGTGCAATTGTCATTCAAACTAAAATGGGGTGCTAACAGGGCTGAAAGCTGATAATTGGCCTGAGCAGAAAGGGGCTAAAAGTGCCATCTATTGAAGTGGTTAACATTCAGTTTAACCCTGCTCACACTGCAGAAGGATAATACAGCAGAAACACAGGTAGAAATACCACAGTAGTTATCAGCTACAGTTCAGGTTACATAAGCTTATGTAGGTACAGTATTGACTGACTATAAGCAACAGACCTTAATGAACCACTTTTATGCCCCATACACATGATGAGAATATCAGACAAATGATTGTCCCTTTTTTTTGGGATGCTAGTCTCATATCAAAAATGAGGAGCTTACTAAAGTTGTGAAAATTCTCATATGACAGAACACAACTTCGGAAGTGATGTAATGTATTGTAATATAATGTATTTTTTCGTTTCTGAGCATGCGTGGTCTTGGTCTTCCCATTTTCTTCGGATGACTATTGACTATTGGACGATTGCTCTGTGTACGGAACATTTTGTATGATTTTCGTATGATCATGTGTACAGGGCATTAGGCTAGCCACATATATTAACATTTCTCTCGTTCAGCCCACAGGACTGAACAAGATAAATCTCTCAATTCTCCTGTACCCTCTGAACAGGTGGATGGGGGAATCTCTCTTGCCAGATGTTGTATTCAGACAGCTGTAGTGACTTCAGTTCCACTCATGGGATGCAGTCGTTGTTATGCTGACAATTTTCCACCCAGCTCCTTTGATGTTTCAATTGAATTTTGACAAGGCGGGTGGTACCATCAGGGCCACCGCATACTGCTGATTTGGCCGAAACTCAAGCTGTGTATGGATAGCCTTAGTTTACCTTACAGGACCTGCATAGCTAAGTAGCCGCATAATGCAACATTTAGAGTATCATCTATGAATATCTGCTATCACTCACACACACACATATATATATATATATATATATATATATATATATATATATATATATAGGCCAGTAGCAAGGTCTAGTGTTGGGCAGGGGCGGACTGACCATTGAGGAACTCGGTCACTGCCCGAGGACCTGGGGTCAGTAGGGGGCCCCATGAGATGTCCCTGGTACCTTTCATAGGCTTTTTTGGGTGTGGTTTGAGTGTGGGAGAGGACACAGAGGCCCCATGATCCCCTATTGCCCGTGGGCCCATGAGTTGTTAATCTGCCCATATAGTAGTGGGTAAATATATACAGTACATCATCACATTAAGATAATGTAGATGGATCATAGACACTACCATTAATATAGACAGAAAAATTTACATTTCTATTAATTAAATTATCTTTTTTTTCATCTCCAGGAGCAAATATTAATAACCGCATTTTTCTCAAAAGTCTACAAGAAAAAATATTTTCCTCAGTAATCAGCCAAATTTACTGTTTCATTAAAGTTCAACAAAAATATGACCACTAAAACATATCAGGTTGCTGAGGGCAACACAGGTAATTTTCATTCATTCATTCTGATAAATGACTTGGTGACTCCAGATGAAATCTTCGGTGGAACACATCATCACTAATGAATTTGACCCCAACAATGTTAAACACTGCTATGACAGTTCTAGATATTCCACAGCTAATTTTCCACAGTCACTGGCTACTTCCCATCAATTATACAGAAGAAGGCAGAAACAGCATGCAATATGATTTAAATTCAAATGCCATGCATACGTTCAACACAGTATCCCAAAGACTGCATTGACAGCTTCAATGTGACAGCAAGACAGATGTTATCATTACTCAATATTCTGAGCGTTCCTACTACTATTTACTATATGCTTTTTGCTACTAACCACTACTACTAATCAAACACCTCCATTTATTTTCTTCCTTATAGTTCAGTTTAGAAATATCAACAGTATAAATCAGGGGTCTCCAAACTTTCTAAACAAAAGGGCTAGTTTACTGTTTTCCAGACTTTACGAGGGCCGGGCTGCAGCCAGTGGGAGTGGAAATGGTCCCAACGTCAGTGGGAAAAAAAATAATGCCCCATTGTTTGGTGTCAGTGGGAGGATGTCATTGGACCCTATCATTTGTGTCACTGGAAGGAATTATGCCCCATCGTTGATGTCATTTGAAGAAGTTGTGCCCCCTTCATTGGTGTAAGTGGGGGGAATTATACCCAATTGTTGGTACCAGTAGATGAAATATTGTCCCAAGGGCCAGATAAAAGCAAGCAAAGGGCCATATCTGGCCCCTGGCCACAGTTTGGAGACCACTGGTATAAATAATAGTGCAGCACCTAAATTACAACAAATATTCTCTAATCAATAATTATATCACAAAAATCCAGAAAGTGAATAACATAAATCAATACCAGAAATGAAGTAAAATGAAGTGAAGTGAAAAAAGTCCACTAATATTCAGTGTGTCCTCTGGTGTCGAAAAACGACCACCTTTAGGTCCGTACCACCACTTGTGAACATCACCAATACCTCACATGCCATCTCCACAGCTGCTAAGGAAAAGCAGAAAATAGTGCGTTTGTGCAAAGAACGATATAATTATTGTTTAGAGAATGTTTGTATGTTTGGGTTTGTATACTGGCCTATTGCAAGCAGCCTTAGATACTTTAGCGCTGACTTCTTATTAAGTTTATTAGAAAAACCAATAACACATTAAAAGAAAGATGTAGAGCTAAGATTGTATGAAATCCCAGCATGTCATTCACAGACAGATATGGCAAAAGAGCTATAAGGTTTGTGGAAAGCTGGATTGGGCTTCTTGTCTTGGGTTTTTACTCCACTACCTACACTGTTAACAGATACAGTATTTCAGTTGTGAATGTGTATTCTGAGGTCATGTTGCCATTGAAGTACAAGAATGATTATGCATTTTTGTACTGGCATTGCCCATTTGTCACCATTCCTGCTTTTAACTAGTATGTGAGACCAATAAAGAAGAGCACTTCACCCATGAAATAAATAATAAAAACAATAATGAAAGAGAACCAACTCGAGAAGGGTGAATTTGGTCTTTTTACTGATTTTCAAATGTCTTCTGCTCTGTTAGTATCCCAAAAGTGGAGGAACACATGACAGTAGGACAGGTGAGTAGAAAAGAGAAACAATTGGAGAATAGGTAGGAGGGGTGGAAGGGGTTTAAGCTTGCTTAGATACTGGCTTTAAAAAAGCCTGCAGGGCCAGCCAGACTAATTTAAAAACTAGCTTATTTTATTTCAAGCAAGGGGGGGTGGCATAGATGGAGGATGCCTGTGCAGAGATAGATAGATAGATAGATAGATAGATAGATAGATAGATAGATAGATACACTATACAGTAATACCTTGGATTGCGAGTAACTTAGTCTGCGAGTGTGTTGCAAGACAAGCAAACATTTTTTATAAATTTTAACTTGACAAATGAGCGAGGTCTTGCAATACACTTTGTCAGCCGAGCGTCACGTCACAACTGAGCCAATGGTCCTTCTCTCTCTTGTTCACTGCAGGATTGTGGGTAATAGTTTCCTGATTTCAGTCAGCGTGCCTCACTCATATAGTCAACATCTGTACTGCAACAATGGCCCCAATGAAGAAAAATAAAGGTTGAAAAGGAATGCAGTCAGAAGAAGGAGATGATTACAGTGGAAGTTAAAAAAGAAATCATCGAGAAGCATGAATGAGGTATGCAAGTGGCCGATATTGCAAGATTTTATAGCTAGTCTTTGTCAATGATTTGCACAATATTAAAGAAGAAAGAAGAAATAAGGGGGTTAGATTCAGCAAAAGGAGTCAAGAGAGTATCAAAGAAAGAGCCACGTGTTCTGGAAGATGTAGAAAAGTTGCTTCTCGTCTTGATAAACGAAAAGCAAATAGCAGGTGATACTGTGTCCGAGAACATTACCTACGAGAAGGCAAAGATTTTGTACACCGACTTTGTAAGTAAACTGCCATGTACGTTGATAGAAAACGAAGAAGGCTCCAAGATGAGCAGGGGGTGGTTTGATAACTTTAAGAGGAGAAGTGGCATCCATAGTGTTGTGAGGCACTGAGAGGCTGTGAATTCGGACGCTAAAGCAGCTGAGGCGTTCACTGCCAAGTTCCAGAAGCTCACGTTTTTTGGTTTGAGGTCAGAACTCTGTGCTGGCCAGTCAAGTTCCTCCACCCAAAACTCGCTCATCCATGTCTTTATGGACCTTGCTTTGTGTACTAGTGTGCAGTCATGTTGGAACAGGAAGGGGATCATCCCCAAACTGTACCCACAAAGTTGGGAGCATGAAATTGTCCAAAATGTCTTGGATTGCTGACGCATTAAGAATTCCCTTCACTGCAACTAAGGGGCCAAGGCCAACCCCAAAAAACAACCCCACACCATAATTCCCCCTCCACCAAACTTTACACTTGGCACAATGCAGTCAGGCAAGTACCTTTCTCCTGGCAACCACCAAACCCAGACACATCCATCGGATTGCCAGACAGAGGAGCGTGATTCATCATTTCAGAGAACACGTCTCCACTGCTCTAGAGTCCAGTGGTGGCATGCTATACACCAATGCATTCAACGCTTTGCATTACATGTGATGATGTAAGGCTTGGATGCAGCTGTTTGGCTATGGAACCCATTCCATGAAGCTCTCTATGCACTGTTGTTGTGCTAATCTGAAGGCCATACAAAGTTTTTAGGTATTTAGCTATTGACTCCGCAGAGAGTTGGTGACTTCTGCGCACAGTGCGCTGACCCTGCTCTGTCATTTTACGTGGCCCACCACTTCGTGGCTGAGTTGCTGTTGTTCCCAGTTGCGTCCACTTTGTTAGAATACCAATAGCAGTTGACTGGGAATATTTAGTAGCAAGGACATTTCACGGATGGACTTATTGCACAGGTGGCAACCTATCACAGTACCATGCTTGAATTCACTGAGCTCCTGAGAGTGACCCATTCTTTCACAAATGTTTGTAGAAGCAGTCTGCATGCCTAGGTGCTTGATTTATACACCTGTGGCCATGGAGGTGATTGGAACACCTGAATGCAATGATTTGGAGGGGTTTCCCAATACTTTTGGCGACATAGTGTAGATAGATAGATAGATAGGGGTTTTTTTTTCAGAGAATAGGTGCAGGTACCCCCTATTCTGAGTCACCCCTTATCTCCACCCCCACCCAAGCACATTTTCTTGGTTCCACCCCCTACCCACCTCCCAGTACCGACCCTTTTTAGATAATACAGAACCAAGAATCATTTTTGGTGACATGCAATTTGTATGGAATGTGTTAATAAAAACAAGAAAAGCAGTGAAAATAGATCCCCTGCAGCAAACAACAATAGACCCCCACTTAGCAACATTATATTCCCCACCAGCAACAACAGATCTCCCACTAACAATAGATCCCGTAGCAGCAAGCAACAACAGATCCTCCCGAACACCCCATCACCTCTTGCCAGTACATACATTCGGTGCTGGAGGTGCGTTCCCCCACGTTTGCACTGAAAAAAGCCCTAGATAGATAGATATTTTCAGGTCATTAACAAATGCAAAAAGGTAGAGGTCTATTCTGTCCACATTTTTGTGACTTGCTCTGATTTTAATAAAGGACTAAAAGATGACACCAAATTAATCCACAGAGCTTAGCACTGAAGGAATAAAACTGAATGTGACCTTTCAAAAACATAACATATTCCTAATAACTCCATTACCTTAAGATACCTCACTAAACCATAAATCATATTTACACTTCCACAGTGTGTACGTGATATTAACTAGAGCACAGCTAATGATGAGGTGTCATCGCTGTGAAGGAGAATGTGAAAACAATGTGGTTCTCATGCTGCAGTAATGCTGTTTTGCAGAGGTAGGGAAGAGCAAAGATGCAGGCTGTAGTGGGTCATACTTAAAGATCAATGGTGTACCAAGAGATATTAGTCTTGGATGGTCAAGGATAAATTAAATATGACAACTACTTGCTTGCCTTCTTGCTGAAACACTGAAGCATGAAGGATATTTTATTAAAGTCTTTGTGGTGGAAATCTATGGCAGAGGAACTGCCAAAGCTGCCCTGTACATTTTTTCCATCAAACTGTGTACATCTTTGTGGTTTCATCATAAATTTGGTCATTACCTTGACATTCACTAATGATTTTAAAGTTGTGTGGCTGTGAAAAATGACCTTGCAGACAAAACAAATTAAAGAAAAGGCAAAAAGTTTATTGTCCTATTTATACAGTGTATTTCTTTGAGACTCAGTGTAATTTATCTTATAGCTGAATCTTCATTTTCTTGGCAAAAACTTAACCCAACATGAACCTTTGTCTGTCATTAACAAACACTATACTAGCAGAAAACTCATATTTCTTGAGTTCTGCTTATCTTCAACCTTTTTTTCGTTTGTGTTCCTTACATATGGTACACCCTCAATGTACTGTATATTACTACTCACCCTCTCTCTTTTCACTGTCCTGTGTCTTTCTAATAAGAGTATAAGGCTAATGCACATTGCTGCAATTAGATTTTGATCTGACTTTTAGTGTGATTGTCTAGTGGATGCTACTTTAAAGTGGTTTGTATATTCTATGGTGCCAAAATTGAATCACACCAAAGTAGTACAGGAACCTTTTGCAAAACCACACTATGTTGCAGTGTATTGATGTGAATAGGCACCATTAAAAACAATGTGACTGCGGTTTGGTGCCACTAAAGCCACATCTGAAATTGCACTAGTGTGAACAGAGCCTAATACTCCTCTGTCCCTTCTTACATCTTTCCTACTGTACCACTACCACTTCTCATTCTGTTCTTCCCTATCTCTGTCTCTCCTCCACCTTAATCTGTGCTTCTTTTTAACTGTCCCATTTGCTTTGTAAACTGTACTTGCAAAAAATGTTCTTTGCCTGAAAAAACTAATGCTACCACCACATCATAGGACTGGTTTAGATATCTTTTAAAGTCCAACTCAGAGCATTTTTTTAAATGTAATGAGCCACCAGAGAGTGAAAAAAATAAAAAAAAGCAGAGCTTAAATTACAATTTTCACCTTCAATCTAGATTTGTCCTCCGCAGTACTTTTTTTTGCTATAAGATATCCCCGGTCTTGAATGATGCCCAACATCAATTAACGCAAAAGATTCAGGACATACTAAGAATACAGGGTATCATGGCCTGCCCTTTCATGAGGGACTCACCACATAGCCCCTCAATAATAATGTATTGATGCAGAGAGTGGAGCTAACATGATCAAATTATTGCTGCTTTCTGCATCTTGAAGGTAATGCCAATCACTGGAGAAATTTGGGGGAAACAGAGGACTTGGCAGGATATACAGAAGACATTGGAAAAAAGTAAGTTTAATAAAAAAAACTACATAAAATACCACTGGAAGGACCTCAAGGGGGGAAGGAGGCAGGGTCTTTGGAGCAAGAGAGCTTGAGGCCCTGAATTGGGTGTCAAAGTAACTGATAGCAACTCAGGAAACAGGAGGGATATGATCAACGTGTATAAATACATCTGTGGTTCATATAGTGAACTTGGTGTAGAGCTATTCACTCTGAGCTCATCACAGAGGATAAGGGGGCACTCTTTACGTCTGAAGGAAAAGAAATTTAATCTCCAAACACGGAAAGGTTTCTTCACAGTGAGAGCTGTGAAAATGTGGAATAGACTCCCTCAAGAGTTGGTTCTGGCCAACTCAGTGGATTGCTTTAAAAAAGGCCTGGATTCTTTCTTAGATACACAGAATATAACTGCTTACTAACATTTTTAGATAAAGTTGATCCAGGGAATATCCGATTGCCTCTCAGGGGATCAGGAAGGAATTTTCTCTCCTGCAATAGCAAATTGGATCATGCTTTGCTGGGTTTTTTTTTTTTTGCCTTCCTCTGGATCACCTGTTGGTATAGGATTATAACTTTTTTTTTTTAATGGTTGAACTGGATGGACTTTTGTCTTTTTTCAGCCAGACTAACTATGTAACTATGTAACTCTCCCACATAACAGAAAATCAGATTATCATTTAAGTGTACTGCCTATTTAAACCTGTTTAAATTGTAGCACAAAAACATATCTCTAAGTAACAGTTTGAATAAAACTTACCTTTTAATTCACTTGGTTTCCATTTGCCAAAAACGTGAGAACACAGAACATTTTGCTCCTATTTTAGTGTAGTAAAGATCATAAGACCATAGAATGAGGATTACACAAGCTGAACAGACACTCCAGAGACTGCTTGCATCCCTTCACTCTAGTCCTCGCGATTATGAACCTTGACTAACAGCTCTGATTAAACACCTCAGATTTCAAGCACCATTAACCTTTTTTAGTGCTTTTAAAACTGTCAAAGTCACGGCACGAGGACAGCAACAAATATTGAGCACTCATGCACCTGAATGAGAGGGCATAGTTCTTCCATTCTCTAACCCATAGTATAAAAGAAAAAAGTAAACTTCTGCAGTGTTTATGGAGCTAAATAAATTGGGTCACTTTTGATATGTCCCATATTGCCTTAAAACAGAACTAATATATATATATGATATTGCCTGCAAATTAAAATGACTTGGTCTTCAGATAATGGTGGATCCTTCATGATTCTTGTGGTTGTTATAAGTCTGAGGAGTGCCCAATTTTTATCACTGCCCCCACAAAGAGAACTGGAATTTGAGTGTGACAATATCTGGGTTGCAGACCTTGGATTGGCCCTATTAGCAACATTTGACAGGCAGGCAATAAGTAGGGTCTTCTAGGTCAGACTATGCAGATGACAGTAACCAGGATCCAAGTCAAGTCATATCCAGCAGTACCCTGCCAGAAATAAATATTAGTTATGACATCAAGTCGTAACCAGAAGAGATCATGAAAATCATGATGCTAGAAGCATGTTACGAATTCCATTACATTCAGCAAAGAATATGTTCATGATTAAAAATTAGCTATGTTTAAAGAACCCTGATAAAATGTTCTGACATTTGTGTCCCAGGAAAACATAGAAATGAAGTATAAAAAGCAATGGTCCTGCATTGAAAAAAACCCATCTGTATCCACATATATCCTGCATGTTTCAGAAACTTGATCTCCCAAGAAATAGTGGCATTTGAGATGATGGAATGTTCTCATTTTGGAAGAGCAGAATAACAGGGATATTGATTTCAGAGAAAAATGACTGATTTCACTAGCAGTACATTTCAATGAAGGTACCAGATTAGGCAAAATTTGATTGTAATTTGCTTGGAAAATGTTCTTGTCCTTTGTTTAGAAGGTGTGGTTCTGTTTCGGGGGGGGGGGGGGGGGGGGGGGGAGGATAGAGATGTGTATTTAGGGTAGCTTTGTATGTAGTGTTCTTTGTGTTTGTATTTCTTTCCACATTTTGTGTCTATTTGTATACTTTAATCCCCCTTTTTTCCAGAAATAAATAAATGAGGCTAATAAGGGCACATTTGTGGCACACGAACAGATCCAGATGAGTTGAATAGAACTTCCATGAATCTTAGAAGCAATCTAAAGCCCATTGCACTCTTAAACAATACCAAAAAACCTATTGCCATAACTTTAGTTTTGCAAAACATTGTTCTTGGGAGAAAAACTCTTCTTGATGTGAATAATGTCAATAAAGGAGCCTTCCACTAGTTATTTGATATGAGGTTTAATATATTTCATCAATGGTCTTAATTCTTTAAACTATTTGCTGAATGCATGCAAGTATATGGAAATATAAATGCATATTTGTGAATGGACTCATTATCAGCCTTCTATTATTCATTGATATTTTTTTTTATTATTATTATACAGGTTTATATAGTGCCAACAATTTGCTCAGCGCTTTACAATATCACAGGAGATAATACAGCAACAATACAGTTCAATACAAGAGGGATAGGAGGGCCCTGCTCCTTGGAGCTTACAATCTAGGAGGGAGGGGCTAGTGGTACAAAAGGTAGTAACTGTGGGGGATGGACTGGTTGGAAGAGTAGAAGATTCCATTATTAGCTGAGAGCAGGATAGGC